CCAAATTGCTTAAGAAGACAAAAATTCTCAATAAATCACTGTCTGAGTTAGTCTGTGGGCCCGATGATACTGTTTCCACATGCTTGCCGCTTGGCAACGACGTCTTACTGTATATCCTGACACCTACTGAACGTAAGACACCCAAACAGGCAACGCCCAACGACCATTGTCCAAATGTGATTTTTCACCCAGGATTATCGATCAGTATGGTAGGCTCCCATAATCTAGTATTTTCCTCACCAGATGACAATTCCTGACCGGTGTTTGGCATTTGTGAGTACGGCATTGTGAAACCAACGATGTAAGACTTTCAACTTTGTATCTATCTTGCAGCCTTGACGGACGAAAAAACGTACTTTTTATATTCACCCAACTGGGCTTTCGTTGTTACTGTGATTCCCCCTTCTATGGGCAGTATGCCTTTCATCATGAACATTGATTTCCGTAGTGGATATATCTAATAATGTGGATCTGTTACAAATGGCATATGCACACCTCGAATGATGTGACCAGTTTAAATCTCTCTGTGGTGACCAAATGAGGTCCAAATAAAAAAATCCTCTTTGTGCTTGTTAGGTCTTTCGACGTTACCAGAATTTGTGTACGTAAATATATCGTAAGTTTCATTGCTCAGGCTAAAGATGGAGTAGCGTAACGGAGTTTCATGGTGTTCCATAAATTTCCAATACAATTATTCGGTCATCAAATCATACACAGACCTCCCTGAAGATTGATACTGCCATGGTGATTGCCCACGGACAACTTCCACTCTTAGTTCTACAGATATTTCACTTTTACTCTCACACAACCATAAGTTTCTCGACTGTAACGCCAGTTTTCTTGTTCTTACCCGAACCCTTTGGAGATTTCTGTCCTCTAGTACCGCTGATTATTGCACAAAACAAATCCAGTCATTCATGCGTTTTGGCGTTTTTTGTTTTATCGCATTTGCAGTTGTGCGATCTGTCCAAGTTATCCTGTTTGTAGGACAGGAATGCTTCCTTACGGAAAACGCTGTATTGTTCAAGTATGACTTCAGTCCACAAATTCGGTACCTGCTTGAATTCAAGCGCTTCAAACTTCAACAGTCGTGACAACACCCATAGACAGTCAGGATTTTCCTTGCAGATAAGCTCGTAAACATTTTTTGTGTATTCCTGAGTTATAGTTGTGTTCAGCGTGTTTTAACGGAACCTCCAAGCGGTAAAGTGTTGTATATCTGGAATGACATTTTTTCCAACTGATTGGCAGTGTGTTCCAGTCAGAAAAACGTGCGTGCACTCATATAACATATTCCAAACCATAAAAGTACCGACTTTTTACAGTTCTATGCGCTTCCTGAGAGACCAGAGATATAATGCCTTGTGTCACATATATCAAATTTATCATGTCTGTCGTGATTCCGGGAGCTACTCTGTCGTATTTTATGTTAATTATGTGGATTTATGTACTTACCCAATGTTAATTAAAGTAGTAAGCTGTTCAATACATGGTCAAATAATGAAAACTCCAAAGCCTCCTCACACTAACGAAAATCCATAAATTCTGTTTGCATTCACACCGAAGGTTATACACCACCTGCTATTTTACTCAAATATTTCAACCGCCACGAATATTTTATATCCCACTTGTCAAAGTGCTTTAAAGAGACACCGAGAATAGAGAATCGCTTGTAAGTACCATATGGCACTTGGGCTTTGCGAGGATACACACATGCGATATTACGATGGGTGACAAAGGGAAAGCGAGTCGTGTTGTAACATCTGCGCAGTTCAATAACTGATCTCAGCCATAAATAATTCATCTGTATCCAATGAAGCAGATTGAGATTCTTGTACTCTGTGATGATTTTCTGACAGCATGTATTCATCAGCTTACGCGTGCAAGAACAGGAATGGTCTCGTAAGATGGGCAGTGTCTGTCACTGAGTAATGTAACGTTTCCACCTCAGCTTAAGGGCGTCTATATTGATTGCGTTCGCTTCACAATGAACTCTCACTCAGAAACGTTTTCTTCTCATTTGAAAGATCCAAACTTGTATCACCAACTATTTGAAGCTAATCAAACTGATAGACATCGTGTAATTCTACGTTACTGTTCTAATATGAAAGCGCTGTTTAAACAAACGTATTTACAACGACCTCTTCTGGAAGCTTAGACATGCCTTGTAGCAGAGAAATACACACCGACTACGGTGTGACCATATCGGTTAACTATGTTGTTGATGTATTTATATGGACTTGTCTTCCTTGCATAGTTCATTCTATACCAACATCGTGCAACTTTCGACCGTTCGGTTTGGTCCCGATCTGGCAGTCCGCAGGTCAACAAAGCCAAAACATGGTAGCGAAAAAAGTAAACGATATGCGGAATTCTTTTTCAAAATTTGGATCAGCCATTTGTTGTAATTAATTTGCTAAGTTGCACACATATGCGCATCAAAAGCACGTAGTTCATATCTGGTTTCTCTGAAAGTGTGTTAATGTGGTGTGACTTTTCTAAGTGGCGGGGCACGAAAAAATTATTTAGGCATTTGTCGGGCACACATCAGTAGAATTGGTCAACATTCATGACCACTTTGAGCTGAAATTGACAAAAAGAATTTCAAGGGATATAAGGTGGGCAAAATAAGGTATAGGCATTAAGCAACAACGAACCAAAGACTTAGAAACGTAGACAAGCTCCACCTTTGAACCGTGCGGAGGCCAGCTGAATAGAATGCGAGTGATATATATGATTATGGGACTGTTTGAAAGCAGCTACTAGGTGTGACAGAAAACGACTTGAGTTTGACGGATGTTGGTAGTAAGCGGCTTCTTTGTGTGAAGCTGGTCGAGCCAAAAGGATGGTGACCCGTGAGAACGTCCGGTTGCCAGATTTGAACTAAGCAACCAGCGACATTCTGCATGCGTGACTCAAAACTCAGTACGTGTAATTCGCTCTTGTTGTCCTCCTCAAGGATGGATTCGAGCAGTAAATGATTCAAAATCGAATGAGCCGGACACTGAGCATTCGACTGACCTTGTCCATCAGTCCATATGCCTAAAACTCAGTCAGACAGAATGCGTGATAGTTCGCTGCAGTCTTCCTGTGACATTGGACGAAAGACATACCCACCTTTACCATGCTACAAATATTTCAAAAAAAGATTAAAGCTTCGTGACGGACCAACTAAATTTGCAAGTTCTATTCTGGTTTTACCCTCAAGCTCGTGTATCTTGAAACCCATGAGGGGAAGTTGCCAAACGAATGTCGGAGATGACGAAATATCGAATGGTCTCATCAGAGCGAGGCATAAAAATTGGTCACAGTTAATTATAGGACAGAGAGAAAACGATCACGAACAGTAGTCCGGGTACCATACGGTGGGAGAACTCGATAATCAATCTCTGTGTGCATTTTTGTGACAAAGCTATGTTTACATGTCAATCCTATGAATGTTCCCAACAGAATTTGCGAATTTTTAAAGGTGTTCAAAATTTATAGACGGTTATACACTCGGCTTGGCTCGATCATTCAAACGTCCACAATGACATGGTTTGGAATACTAAAAATAATCCGGTGAGGTTTGCAAATGCTTCTCGAAGAGCAATGTGTTGCTATCAGAACAACCCAATTCATTTTGGCTTGTCAGCTGATGGGCATGCCGTTAATTTTTCCATTCCAGTAACACATTTCCAAGTGTGCCACAGTATTAGTACTCAAAATCAGCTCACTTTTCCCCATTTAGTTTTTATTCTAATAATATCATGGAATGGCTGGTGTAAAATGTGTCATTTGCATTTCCCTGTCAGCGCGCGTCTACAAGCTGTTTGGCTTGTAGTTTTTTCCGTGGCATTTGTGTTGTCTTGATCACAAATTGCAAATACACACCTGCTTGCTGCTCACTGCTCGCGGCAGTTACATGCTGAACTCGTAAACCTAAAAATCCGTTTATTATTCTGTATAGCCACTCAAATAGCAATCATCATAAGAACCGCTTTTATAAGGTAAGACGATGCCCTCATAAACCAAGCTAATCACTTTGCACAGTTCCTGCGGGTTACGTAGCTGTTGGTGCAAAACTGTCTTCCAGATAGACTGGCGCGCTCACTTGCTAACCTGGCACTGCAGTCCAACGGCTTACACTCTGATGTTATGTAGAAACGTTTTCCAGATATACCATACCGCTCATGCTTCAATTTGTGCACAAAGCAACGCGTCTAACAAAACGGTGCACACATGATAGCACCAGTCTCACGCTGTATCAAACTTGACATGATCACGTTGCGATAATGTCCCTAATTTGACCTCGGTGTTCTGGGAGGATCGCGTGCGCACTAAGACCGGCTGATTTACAGCATACATTCGACAAGAAGCATGGTAATAATGACTGTATCAATGATGCAATCAGTCTATAAATCCAGATATTTTGCATAGGCCCAGAAACGAATAATGGGGTTGCATTAGGCTTGACGAAGCAGGCGCTCCTGGAAGTATCACCGACCAGCATACATTAGATGCCATGTGGCCGCTCGGTACATTGCTATAGACATTGTGGTGATTAATGACTGCATTTTTTAAAGAAATAACTGAAACTTTAACCAGGCTTTTATTCGATTGACTGAGTGTAATCTACTAGACTTGCCTATTGGAATCTGTAGGACGCACGTACACAAGATACCTTTTCAGACTTTTGAAAATAACTCTAACTGGGTAACTAAATAACGCCGCAGTAGTCAGTAGGCTGACCTGTCATGATAACACATAGTTGAAAGCAACCGGCTTTTCCTCACCAACACATAGGTGTACATTACTGTTCGCACGCGTCAGGCTACTACTAGGTGGTTAATGGGGCCTGTGAAATGCACGTGGGACACTCAGAAGACTGCAAACACGACGTGTCACGCATTGTTGCTCAAAAACCACGCAAATATGGGCAATGCTTGGTTGGTCACATGCGACCAGTTTATAGCCAGGGACGCGCACTCTTAAGTTTGCTTTCACCATCTTCCACTCAGGTTCACTAGACGGTTGACCACTTTGGCCATTTATATTCAAATTGGCGTGATTGCATGTTTTCCAGTTGACACCGCTCTGGAGTCCGTGGAATGGGGCAACCTGACCTTTGGGCCGGTATACGTCGGAAATAAAAGAGATTATCCTCCGGGTGGACTATGAGAAACCTAACCCCGTTCATATTGAATGCGTTGAGCGCGTAGAAATTTCTGGGGTACGATACATTTCTACTGAACGTCATCTGAACATTCATCAGAATTCGTGCATTGCAGTATTCCGTCCATTTTTAACCACACAACTAATGGCCAAAATGATTATATTTTGTTTATTGTGTTAAAAGTGGCCGGACATCTTACCAACATTTTTGTCCTGTATTTCATAATGAAATGTATCCCTTTTATACGCAAACGGAGGTTGGTAATTTTTTGCAAACTGTACTGTAAAGTTAAGATCTTGCAAGGCGTATCTATAGTTGGGGCTAAAACGATGTTTCGTGGCGTGCAACCGGGGTTTTCAGCTACATTTTTTTACCACGTGGATGGTGGCAACATCAGGCAAGGTTTTTGCATTCAGCGCCTGAGATAACTCGTTGCCAAAAGATCCTCCCGTGCTGACCGCGCGTAGTGTAAAAAAAAACGCGTTCATCAGTCAAATAAGTTCCACCGAGCATTGTTGCATCATCTGGTCACGCAACGCACATCAGCTACAATTCTTCTTTTCCGCTTACTTGACACTTCTGTCGCAAGTAACTTGAGCAGCCTGCTGCCAACGTTACTATGTCTGCTTTGGTAGCTTTTAGGCGAAGACTGAATACAGGTACACTCTAGAAGATCATAAGAAAATAACAGTTCTATGAAGATAATATTTTCGCGCTATATGATACGGAGAAGTTTAACAGAACAGTTTTGTCATAAAATCCGGGCCGGTCTAATCAAGTTGCTCTGTAGTGGCACTAGTCCATAGAAGCATCGGTCTTCCGTTCAAAGCTCGGAAATAAGAGTATGACGTCCATCATGAGCCATAGTCCCATGAAATGGCGTGAACCAATCAAAAGTCTCTCGCCTTATTTGCTACCCGGTACAAGCATATTTTCCTGAGCTTGCTGATGACCGTCTCTCCCTGTTTACGTCACCTGATCCATAATACAGTAAATTTCGGACATATTGATACAGGCACCATCAGGACGCCACCATAGTTTGGATTGCACTCTGACTCAATTTTCGACATTGTAGGCTGGGCATATAGGCCAATCAGATGGTCGTTGGCTTGTTCGCTGAGCTGGGCAATTTGGTTGCAAACGTTTCATCACCAATCGAGGTGACATCATCAGTGCGTAGTTGTGCGTAGCAGTGGGTTAGTGGTTGTGCGTTCAGTAGTGTTACGTGTGTGTTGATATACGTGCAGGTCAATTCCTACACAAACTACGGAACTTCACCATAGAAGACGATGAAGTCATGCTTTCGTTTGATGTCACATCACTGTTCACTTCAATCGACCACAACCTCGCACGGGAAACCGTAGCGGAATTGCTTCGGAATAATCCAAACACGACGGAAGCCATGAAACCTGAAAGTATATGCAAACTGTTGGACTTTTGCATGGATACATACTTTACCTTCGATGAACAAGCATATCAACAGCTGAAAAGAACTCCAATGGGATCCCCAATATCAGGATTCATTGCTGAGGCGGTAATGCAAAGACTAGAGCGTGCAGTACTGCCGATCATCAATCCAAAGCTGTGGATCCGCTACGTGGACGACACCTTCGTCATCATGAAACGGGACTCAGTACACGACGCACATGAACTGCTCAACACAACGTTTGAAGATATCAAGTTTACAATCGAACTGGAAAGAAACAATCGGCTACCATTCTTGGACGTCTTAGTGAACAGAAAGGTGGACGGGACTCTGGAAACCTGCGTACACCGCAAAGAGACTCATACGGACCAAATACTGAACTACAACAGCAATAATCCAGTAAACCACAAAAAGAGCTGCGTCCAAACCTTGTTCAAGAGGGCGGAGACACACTGCAGCACCACAGAACTACGGAAGAAGGAGGAAAACCTTCTATACAGAATGTTCCAGAAGAATGGATATCCAAGGCGTTTTATCAAGAGAAGCTTGAAGAAGAAGAAGACATCTCAACAACAGCCACAGCAAGAACAAGCCACCAGACGGGTAGTCCTACCTTACATCAAGAATATATCAGAACTCGCAACCAGATTATTGGCGCAAAAAGGAATCTTCGTGGCCCACAAACCGAGTGCTACTCTAAGGAAATTAATCTCTAGACCGAAGGACAACCGGGACAAAACCAAGAGGAACAATGTGATATACCAAATCGACTGCAACGACTGCAACAAATTCTACGTTGGACAAACTGGGAGAAAATTATGTACACGAATAAAGGAACACAACGCGGCTGTCAGGAGACATGACCCCCTGTCCTTGATATCCATACACGAGGACCAGGAAGGCCACAAATTCAACATGGAAAACGCGAAAATTTTGGCATACGGAGACACGCGACACGGAAGAGAATTTCTGGAAGCATGGTACTCTACGACAGGTTCAATAAACCGGTGCATTGAACTGGATCCAATTTACGCACCTCTACGCGCGAGAGATCAACGTCGCAACCGAAACACTCAAGGAGGACCGAATAATGGATTCACAAACGAAGAAACAAGGAACTCCTCGGAGTCAAATCAATGAGGTCACAACCGGAGCTAGGAAGGACAAAGGTCACTCCAACATCGACTAGACTACGACGGCGAGGGATGTCAAGTTCAAAAGTCACGTGGGCATCGGCGAATGAGGACACGGGATAGAAAGAACAACCAATGGAACCGCCCGACGGAATAACTAATCGCGGTCAAAGGTCATCCTCGGCTATCAGCACGTATATCAACACACACGTAACACTACTGAACGCACAACCACTAACCCACCGCTACGCACAACTACGCACTGATGATGTCACCTCGATTGGTGATGAAACGTTTGCAACCAAATTGCCCAGCTCAGCGAACAAGCCAACGACCATCTACGCCACCTGAGCTACCGACATTCTTCTCTATAGAAGGCCAATCAGATATCAGATAGACAATGTAGTATGAGTGCTACCTCACATTTGCGCGCGCGATGTGCGCGTGTGTCATTTGTCCACGAGACTTCTCCATTTCTCTTTGGCTTGTTCACAACTTAGCGTACTTAGAGTACATATAGATGCGTGGGACCGGAGATTGAGAATCAGCAAAGCATCCACTCGTTACTCAGTGATTTTAGGTTTTCTCACAGACTATGTTTGTACTTTTGGTGTGTGCAAGCAAGAGTGGCTGTGCGGCTCGATCCAGCGGGTTACAAGATGCGGTGAAACGTGACACGTCAAGGCTACTGTCACACCCCGTGGATTAAATAGTTCACGTTTTCTGAAACTGTCCGGATGCGAGAGACCTTGAAAAGCGGTAAAGCGTTATTTGTCAATTGATCTATCACCACAGCTGACTGTCGTGCACAGAACAGTGTAACCTGTATCATAAATACTGAGTGGTGCATATAACGTGCTTGGAATATCATGAGGACAATAATATTAGAGTACATATCTACTGAAGTTTTATGGATCAAACTAGCGGTTAACGGAATAGTTTCCTAAGATAGGTGGTACAAAACCTTTTCAAACGTACAGCCAAATCGTCAAATTATAAGCTTTGGGCGGTTTTGGACAGCTAGAGGTTATCTGCGTTTTTGATCACACAAACTAGGAGGCTTTTTTCCACTGAGCCAACAAACACAACATTCCATTATCTGTTTTGTCTTCGAGTTTTATCTCACCCGTTCGGATTCTTCACAAAGATCTTCTGAAATCTTCAGCTCACTAAACAAATAACCTTTCGTTAATGTAATAGTGGAAATACCTGGCTGCAGACCGCCTTAAGTACTCAGTCTTGAGGATCAGGAAGTAAAATTTTCCTCACAAAATCTAGTTAGTGTTAGCACCTCATCAACCCCATGTATCAAATACAGCCGTGATGACCGCGGTAACCAAAGTTTACATTTTCATCCTTGCGCCTAGGTGTGCTTTATGTTACATACAAGGCAGTCTGCGTGTCCTCCAAAAATAATTATCTAACAATCGAATAATAACTATTTCAAATGACTTAGGTTAGGTCTTTGGGTCATCTTAGCGTCTAGTGTGTATTGAAACCGGTTCCTTGTCTAAAACGTCATTGTACTGAGAGCCCAAAAGAATTCGGTTTCTTCTTGCCTTCATTCCAACAGTTAAAGACTTCAAAATTTACCTGAAATGGACAGGGCACTATACTTTTTTCAAAATGAAACAAATGACGGGGCCAATCGAGCATCATGTCAACGTTCGAGTGATGAATTCTGTCAGGCACTGTCTAGACGGCCCTTCTTGTCTAAACTGTCAGAGGATTGTTACTTTGGACATATGGAAGTAAAGGCTGTCTGGAGCTAGTAATGTCGCATTATGCAAGCGACAGAGCAATCCTTGCCTAGCAAGAAAAACGGGCTTGAGAGTATGGTTGAGGCGACTGAAGTATGTGAGCGCAGTCTGGTAAGCTTCATCTCACCCATGGTTTTAATAATAGTAACTGTAACAGCACATGGGAACATCGCGAATCCTCGTTTGATTAATCATGTGCGAAGCCCAGATTTCCAACCAGGATTGCAGCTAGAACTGTAAGAAACGTTCAAACATTTGTTGTAAAGACTTAATAAATAGACAACGAAATAGGTTCTATTTCGACGGAACAATCTCCTCGGGAAGGAAATTCACCATAAAAAATACTTTTGGGAGACATCTTGTCAGATAGATATTCGCTGCCAATGGTATCACTCCAAGGGGAAAAATGTTCAAGAAGATTCTGAATATCTTTCAAAACGGCGAGCCTCCGATTTGAAGAGGATTCATTTCTACGGGATGCGACAGATATTTGAGGTTCTTTGTCCCTGCCGATAATAATTACCATATATTGTTCCTGTAAAATGCACACACATACGCAGCTCAAGTATGCAAATCTGACTGCTTTAATCCTATACAAGGATAGCCCATCTAAGTTGACTTGCTGTCATGCCAAGTGTCCCCGAAATGCTGTTAACTTGTGGCTCATTTCGAGCCGTTGATTTTGACCCGAGGTTCCGTTGCGGATGTGATTGAAGAATATGACACCAATACTCACTTGAAAGACCCTGTCCTCTTCAATACAAACCAGAACATTACAATCCCTATTGAACCTCTTTACAGAGTGTACAGCTGTTGTGCTTGAGTATTAATTATCTAAAGTACGACAGTGGTTCAATTACAAAGATCTGTAACGAGAGTACAAGTGCTTTGATAAGTACTCAAGTTAGCACAGTAGGCTTAGAGATTCTCAAGAATTCGGTGACGAATTAGGGTTGGCGGTGGATAAGTTTCTTAGGAGTTCGGTTCAGAGTCATTTTAAGAAAATTATTTGCACTTATTAGAGACAAAATTTAGGCGAAGACTATCCACCACCAACCTATTAGCATTTCACATTCTATCATAAGCATGGCCTCTGGTCATCCGTAACGTCACCCAACAACGCTGGACCGTAGTCATGGAAACCATCGGCGCCACAGATGATCACTTCAAACTGATTCAATTTAGTGGTGCCCATGCGCAAATCCAGGATGACAGCTGGGTCGGAATTAAACGTTACATTTGTAGGGTCGAGGAAAAACGCACTGCTACTCTTTGCTTCCCCTCCGTATACATGGAGATTGTGGTGCCATTGTATTGCGACTAACTTGCAAACCTGCTGAAATATTTGAATACAAAAGATAAATTGCCTACGCTTTCATAAATACCGATACTTCGGCTTTTGGCTCCTTACTTTGGCTCAAAAACAATTCACTCATATAATACCACTGGAATTTGGTCATTTTCCGAAACATAAGTCGCTGGATTGCTGAAAGGTTTACGACTCAATAAATACATGTTACAGCGCTATCCCGCATGACATATTTCTGCAGTATGCTTTCTACCACGAACTAGGCAGTATATAAAGACTATTCGAATAAGTTGAAAATCTAACATTTATCGTGTCCTATAACAACTGAAGCGCTTATATTACGAGAATAACCCTAGCAGTATCTATATATGGGTAAGTCAGGAAAAGCACTTTATTGAGAACTTTTGGTCCTTCCATATGTCCGCAAATATTGTCGCTAAAATGCGGCGTTTCCTAGTGAATCGAAATAATTGAAATAGCGACCTAATCTGTGATAGTCAACAGAAGGCTAGTAGTATTAAACGTGTGAGAAGTTAACACCAAGAGCTATCGCAGACAAGACATCCTTGCAGTGGTCATTATTTTCAATGTCACTGGAGTTCCATCCATATTAGTCATCAACCATTCCTTAGATGCGCTTTACGGAATTATTTGTAAAGTTAGATTTGTGAGCCGCCTGCGGAAAATGTTGCTACCTACTATCCACAGAAAAGCTAATAAAATCCAGGCGGAAGTATCTTCTGGTGCTACTGATATTTGTTCTGACTTGTAGTATTTGATCAAAGGTTTCCATGCGGTCTTCATAAAACACGAACAGTGCGTGTTATCTAGACAACTGGCCCAATATGCGGGTTTTTCTCCACTAGCTACTAAATGCTGAGTACGAGACGAATAACAAGCGACCCAATTGATGGCCAACGTAGCGGAAATTCTTTGTGACGGTTCAAGCGAAACCACGGAGCGAATTCACGCATTAAAAATGCATGAGGTGTTCCGGTGTCTGTTATGTGACACAAAACTGAGACAGAATGAATAAATTACTCAACAAAGGCAAAGTTGTTAATGATTCCCTTGATAAAGTTTATTTTTTATCAGAATGGCTGGAGGTGTGGCGATCGCTGTACTTATCCTAGGGGTCAAGGACAAGGAATGAAGTCCAGAATTATTTACTTGGATAAAAATCAAGCGTAAACACTTTGGCAAAGACAATTATTCCAATTCTAAACTTCTTCTTGTATGAAAAATAGGTTTTTTGTCTAAGTGTAAGGATGTATTGAAGTTTCAAAGAACGGCGGACTACTTCTTACTTGCAGTTGAGATTTCATTTTGTCAGTGAAGCCAATGTATGCTGAAAAGCCGGAAGCACCATACAGCTACCACGTCCTTACTGGAAATCATCAGCAATCGAAGTACACGCATAACGTTAAGTATGCATTAATAGATAATAATGCACCTATTCCTCGTTTTATTGGGAGGCATTTTGAAAAGTGTTTGATACACTTTGGCATCGTTTAGTCACCTATGCTAGACATTTGCTGTATCCAATTATAGGAATCGTCCTTATTCGACCTTTTGAACATGCCTGGCCTCCAATGGGTGCAGACTCCTTGGTACAAATGTAAAAATTAAATTTGCTTAGATATAGGTGTAACGGTGATACTACTGATGGGGGCATGCGAGTAGTATGTTTTCTCTTGAACCCCTTTTGCGTCTCTTGAAAAGTAAGGTCCATTACGGAATTTGTGGAGTCGCTTTGTTGCACTTGCTTGCAATTGAATAACAGTCAGTCAATATCCAGGAAAGTTCAGGAAGGCGTATTCAAGGAGAAGATGGATATACAGTTTTGTAAACAAGATGCTCCCCTGTCAAATAGTCTGTAACTGTTCAGTTGGCATTTTCTACCACATAATTCCGCAGCGAAGGCCTTCTTCCTTTAATGGGTAGCTGATACTACAAAGCCCAAGTAATACACCTATTTAATGAAAAATGAGCGAAGTTTCACAAAGGCTGGCTTTAGTCAGTTTAGGAGATTCACATTCCCACATGGGTTTGAGTAAATCTGGCATGACACATATCCATTTCAGACAGGTGTCATGTGCAACTAATCTGCGACCAGAGCTTGATGGGCGTAGCATTCCATTCCAGTTGGTTCATACTATACCTTGCAGACGACCAGAGTTCCCTTCCGTGATTTTTTGTAAAAATTACTTACAACATGACAGAATGGGCCGGTGTACGGTAGACATTTTGTGCCTAAGATGGAGTTTCCCATCTGGATAGCAAACGCTATGTCCCTAGTAAAGTTGTGATTGGACTAACAGATTGTAAATCACAGAGGCATCTAGGCAACCACACATTCATGTGCAGTCGAAAAAAATATTATTCGCGATTGTGATTGTTCACACACGGCACAATTAGGCTGTTACAGTAGCAGTGACAATTCAGACAGATGCCACCCTGAAAGAAAAAAAAACTTTCTTGTTTGACAACTTGAGCATATCGGATGCTGCATCATCACAAAGAAGCTGGCTACGGAGGTAATAATGCGTTCTGAATTTAGTTTTCGTCCGGTAGCTAACTTCAAATACGAGCTACTCATGTTTTCACAAGCCCTTTCCAGTGTTACAGAACTGATTTGTGTCAGTGTGTCTTGATTTAGGCAGAAGTCAAGCTGATAACTGTTTAGTATCCCTGGCCTGAGTACACTTACTTTGAATCTATCTGTCGGATCTTTCAATTAACCCAAAGCAATACTCTCCAGAAAATTGTACACCCCATTTCTTTTAGAATACAATCAGAAAACTGGGTAATGCTCGTGGGAGTCATTCTAAAAGCGATAAGATACACCAGATATTGCCATTCTGAAGAATAATCACACACTTCATCCGTTCGTATGCGATTATCATGTTTTTATCTATCAGATAGCTGAAGAATTTGTATACCTAGTCTTTTCGTTCAACATATTCTGATACCTATTTCCTGAAGGAGATCGTCTTGGTCAAAATAGGAAACAATAGATATTTTATCCCTACGGGCTTTTTAGGAATAATTAAAGTGCATTGTGCATGGTGGGTATCGCATCTTCCTGACATGATCCCTCTAAATATGGAATTGGTTGCGGAAATCTTTGAAAAAATTCCTCACGTCAACCGAAAAGTCGTTGCACTATGTTATGATTTCGGGCGCTTTTATGAAAGCACTTTTTGTTCAGATTTGAAAAATCACGGATATTGTTGCCCATAAAACTCTGCAATGATTGATACTTGCCTCTACGGAACCTACAGAACAGTATGTTTGAATACGGAAGGCCATATCCTATGGTCATGTTCAGTCGGGTAAATGGTGATTCGGAGCTAAAATGAGAAACGCAGATTCAACGAATCACAGTTACGTTCAGTTTATAAACTTGTCATCCTATCTAATCAATATGTGAGTACGTATGAAGAAAATTGTGAAACTGACATCTGGAAATCTCATCTGGTTAGAATAACCACAGAAGTCAATAATATACTTTATTGAATAAAGTGTAAAAGTAATTAAAATTTGTCATCTCCTGTTCAGCTTAGTTTGCAGCGTTACAGCAGTGTGCACGCCCCTAAAACTGTGCGCGGAATAATAAATATTCCTCTGGTCTGATGAGAACGCTGAACGAGATAACGCACATATTCTGAATGATCTGCTGGTAATAAAATCTACTTGGAGCCGGAATACACGTGGTGCGTGTAGGTGAGTAAGTGAGTGCATCTGCATTGCCCATAGAAAATAGTGATTGTGTTGGTGTGTGTGTGTGTGTGTGAGTCAGTTACGGCGAAAGTCGCCATGGAGTATTCTGGAAAATGTTTTCTTGAACTGAGCATTTGCCAATGCGTAGCAGAATGGATTAATCGGTGAATTCATGTAGCATAGCCAATAGGTGATACTGTACAAAACATCATTCACGCAGGTGGTATCGGCGGGAACGTCATCACAAATTCCCTTGATTATAATAACTACATGATACGGAGTCCAACATAGTACAAATGCTCCCAGAATAAATGTTATCGTTCGGAGTGCCTTGCGTGCTCTGTTTTCTCTCCGGCCTCTTTCCACTAGTGCTTTGTTGCCTTTTCGCGTCAGATTTATTTTTTTGACTATTTGCCAGAATTTCATTTTGTCAGGGTTAAGAGCAACAAATTTGTTTTTGAGATTCGGCCAGAAACTAAATGTTCTATTTTTCTCGGGACCCAGACCGGTTGTGCAGCAACAAATTCTGCGTTCGACCAGTTGTGGCCTCATATATTCCCCATAACTTGAACTTGATCTCACCGAGTCGGTTTCATTCTGGCCGGCACATATTATACACTGCGGATGATATTTTGAGTATTCCGTGGTGTTTGTCTGGTCACAATAGGTCGTCAATGCGTGCAATGAACACCCCATACTGTAGCTGTCCATTTCTGAATAAGGCTGAGGTTTCCAAACCACCGAGGCTTCATCTACCTCACCGAAGGATTGCATCATCTTTACATCAGAGAAGGAGGAATCCACTGTCCGTAATTCGCCATCCCAAACAAAGGAATCACCGTCTTTTGTATATTTTGTTCTGTGTGTTGGGGAACTAGCCTGGTTCATGTTTTGATGACGGCCAGTCTCACGTGTCACCTGCGTACTTGGCTGTTGTGAGGAACGGTTGCTTGAGGTTAAGCACCCCGAGTCTTGGGAGTCCGATAAAGGTATATTATTTGCCGCCATTCTCCGTCGAAACGTCTCTAGCACTCTGTTTTGATAAGCTGAGTCAGACTGTTGCTCTACTGGTGGAATTTTAGGTGGAGTCTTTGACTGTATTTTTAAATCTTTTGCTTTGCTGTTTGAATTTGGGGTTTCATGTATTTTCTTCGTTGCTAAATGATTTTTGAGTGAATTTGGATCTGCTTGCTTTATTGACGTTTCTGCATCCGTGAGTACTCCACTCTGTCGAATTTCTACCTGTTCGTCTTCCAAATCGGAACAAATACACAATGCTGGAGATGGAGGTAAATAGGTTACGGGCAAATTGTCCTGGAAGTCCAATCCGGATTCATCATCTGTGAGGATAGGGGAAGATATTAATAGCCCTTCCTGCTGCTGGACACATATTGGTGCAGGGCTCTGTTTACACTGCTCTGACTGATCGACGGATTGCGTAATCGAAAATCGTGGATGCAAAGGACATTCCATCTGCCTTTTTAACGGACTCATTTTGTACGTTTTTGGAGGCTTCGGATTTGAAGCACGTGATTCTGCTAGAGAGACTTGCATCGGAGGTTTCGTAGGTACGGGACACGCATGTGTGCAGTTATCAGGCTTTTTCAAAGGGGGTAGTGTGTTCTGTGTAGCATTCGAAGGTCTGTGCGGGGTCACGTTAGCGAATGGCGTAGGTCGAGGGGGTTGAGAATAACTTGAGTCAGTTGTTCGTAACTTCACCCCCTTCCGGTTGTTCGAAGCTGTATTTATTCGTTTTTGTTGCTCCTCTTCTGAGTCAAATCCAGAAGACTCATTGGTTCCGGTTCCGCCAGCACTATTATGAGTCAGTGGCTGTGAATTCATAGGCCTGAACTTGTTTCCTCCCTGGTTGGTAGTAACCACTTGGGACGCTTGGCTGTGGTTTATCGCTGTGGACTGTGTGATTAAACCACTGACGCGATTGCGTTTCTCATCACTTCGTTTTTGTAAGTTGTCCGCAACGCGGTAGATACCAACATATAGGCCAATCATGACGCACAATGTGACCCAAAAGTAGCAAACGGTGAACACTGTGTTGAATATGGGATCGTTCGCAAATTCCGCGGAACATTTGTCCTCGGCTCTAGGTTTGACAGGTGTGTTGAAGTAGGGCCACCCAATTATAATGGTGAAAAAAACCGACGACGGAATGAGCCAAGTTGCGGCAACCATTATACCAACTTTTCCATCAGTCCTCCAGTTGCGATATTTGTCAGGAATGCTGACGGAGAAAAATCGGTCCACAGTAATAAAAAGCACTGTATACTGTGAGGTCAGACACGCAGTATAATCCAGACTTAGCCACAAATCACACGAGAGACGTCCTAGGGGCCAGCGCCCAAGTATGAGATACAGTGTATAAAGATTCATTGAAAACAACCCGATAAGTACATCTGTAACTGCCAAAGACGCAATAAAATAGTTGGTTGCTGTTCGGAGTGCACGTTCGACAAAAAAGGATAGTAGTACCAGAATGTTACCTGAGATAGTGATGAAACTGGCGATCACTGTAAGCAAGGCCATTATAACCGACTCTGCTGTTGTGTAGGTAGCGATCTCACTGACATTGGCTTTAACATTACTAGTAAAGTTGAGGTGGTCCTTGGGTAACAATTGTACTGTCTCAGAACTAGCGCTCGTAGCATCGATCTGATTCACCTTTTGTTGAGAAATGTGAATAGTCCTTTCGGGCGTTACAGGGGCGTTCACTTTGCCAGTCGGTTTGCCCAGCAAATCACGTAACTGTTTGACCTGTGGCAAGGCTGATTCGTCTGGCGGTTGCGTTATGCCCGAGAGATTTCTCAGCTTTTCATTTATTCGTTCCCGTTGCCACTCAGACCAACGCATGTACGCTTCCGAAACATCCGGTTTCACACCCAGTTTATCAGTGCTCCGGAGACTATAAAAACGTGAGATGGCGATCTGAAAAGTATTTATCGGTGTGTTTGATGCACACAGCACTGAACAGCAGGACGCCATGATGGTGAATCCGAGACACAGCATCCTATAGTGGTTTTGATTTAGAATGAAGGAAGCCATGAAGGGTGATATCTTCGTTACTTCTTTCAGAAGGTTACCTGAAGGTAAAAGGGAAACAATTTCATCCTGGTGGTACACTAGTGGCGGATTACGTTTACAAAAGCCTCCAGTAAAATATTTACAAAAGAAAACCAAAATACTGTTTCCAGGAAAATAGCCATTTTTACAAGATCAACCACATCTGGTTGAAAATGAAACCTTTGGTGAGGAGTGATGTTAGGTGGCGTTTTCATGTATGTCATATGCTCTGATGAAGTCACTGAGTGCGAAGTTCAGGGTGAAAAGGATAAAGCTGATTGAAAATGAAACACCAAATATCATTGTTCGAATACATCTCATACTTGTTCGTACTATTTCAATTCGCTCCCGATTAGGATGTAAAAACCTAGATGAATCCATCCATTTCAGTCCTCACTTTCTGGAATGAAAAGCCCTATGAAAAGTTCTTTCCATTTCAAAATGTAATTTTGATCTACTCCGCTTGGCAACTGAACCACTGCAATGTTTGTCTTGTGAGTAAAGTTCATTTTCTACAACGCCTTTCCTTCATGTAATACAAACAAACAAATGTTCTGCTTTAAATCACAGACGATGAGAAAGACTGGCCTCATTCACCATGAATACCGGAAAACTTCAACGAACTATAACGAGGATGTGTACAACTTATTAAAATCTACCTGTAGCAGGTAGTCAAAATGAAAATGTTTGAAACATGCATTACTAGTTAGAATGAAGTTAATAAATTGTTTCATTTTCATACGACTGGAAAGCGGTGTTGATGTGCCAAATATTGGGAAGTTAGGTGCCTTTTGTAAGGTGCAGCAGAACGCTGTAAACAACACATGATGCCCCAGTCTTCGTAGGTGATCAAATGACACATTACAAACAGTGACATAAACATTATTTGGCAAAGTCGGATTGCTTTCATTCTTGATAAATGTGATGTTTGTTTTGCTAGCAACATTCCTCTAGGCCATTGTTTACAATAAGCAAGTAAACAGCACTGTATTGATTTCTGGTTGTAAAACGAAATGCCCCTTATAGTTAAGATGAGAACTAGATTGGCGCCTGAAATAGAGTTTGGAAGGTTTTCGGTCGATAGTTCACCCTGAAAAAGCAGCAACGTCATCATTTCCCCCTTTCGTTTACTCCTTGTCTGGCATCAAAATTCTGCCACCCTTCTTATTCAACTCAAAACCCATTCAACAACCTGCTGAAGGATCTGATGTTAGTTAAACTTGCACAATTTTGTCGTTTTAATCAATCATTCAAAACTTTAACCGCTAATGCCGCTGTGACTACAGCATTTATTTGTAAGTCACGGTCAGAGTACGTAGAGTCTGCAGCGATTGTTTGTGTACTCCGGGACTTCATGTGCGATGCCGCCCAAACTGATCAAGCATACGGAATAAGCCGGCATCTTTCGTTTGTTTTTTAAATTAGAATGTACGAATATACCTCACATATTCTGTTGGTGGTCCAACTTCAAAGGGAGCAACTCATGAGGCACAAGTTTCCGTTGGACATTTGATTCGATACTTCAGGTTGTGGCGTCACGGTCCACCTTCATTATTATATTTTGGGTGCAAAAACTGTTAAATTGACATGCAAAAGATGTATTTCTTTGTAGTTGATTTCTCCGTGAACCTGTAGATAACGGCCGACACAAAGCTCTCAAAACTGTAATCGCCCATTAGTTTCATTCTTAAATATTATGACATTAAATTGTCAGCCTTCCACTGACTTAGATAAACGTACGCCTCTAAATCTTAGACGACCTTAACCAAATGCAGTATTTTCCCAGGTATGTGAAGCAAATCCCACGCCTGGAGATTGCATAACCACGTTAAAACAAGCGTCGATTTATGCAACTAAAAAGGACGGTCGTTTTTGGTGAACCGACTCATCAGTAGTCAATTACTTTTGAAAAGTTGCGGTGGTCAGCTGGGATTTAGTTGGGTCAATTTTCAAATGAATTTACGAGTTGCATAAAGTCTGGGTTTCAAGTAGAACATAAGGTCGGGGAGAATTTAAGGACTGAGCTTATCTAGTTAACCCAAAGGAAGACAAAACCGGTTGTGGGTTGTCGACTGGACTCCCAGAAAATTTATAAGTATCTTGTCAATTCTACTTCCGGTTAAGGAAGGGACTGTTTTTTAAACGAATGATGTCATTCCTTAGGCGCATTGAAAATTAACTACGCAAGGTAGAGGCACATCGTTTATTCGCATAATAAATACACAGAGAAATTTGCTTGGTTGATACCAGATGAGCCACCCTTGGAAGCACTCGAAGTGTACTTTGTTTACAGTAATCATTCTCAAACGGGAAATTGATGGAGGTACGTTGTTCGAACTTTTGTGCGTCCCACAAGTCAGCGGGAATCGATATTAATTGTCACAGGGAATCGTATTATTTCTGGCGCACGACTCTTATACTGCGTGATTTCAGCCCAAAACCTTATTCACCAGAACATGAAATATTGCACGAAAATGCATTTTGTGGCCCGTCGTCAACATTTTAGTTTGTTATAGAACCCAACATTCCTACGGAATATCTCAGCCGACCTGCCCTACGTGAGTATTTTGTACCACGGACTGTATTTTTCATGATATAACACTTTTTTCAAAGTCTTCACACTACTTATTTGTGCGGGCGAAATCTAATTCATGCAATAAATTATGCATCCATTTATGATGAAACATCCCCAGGCTGACCAAAATTTACAAAGGGTTGGACACCTTGAAGCGGAGAATATGTTAGAACGGTTGCTGGTATAACAAGCAAGTTGATCAGTGTGGTTATTGTTTTTTATGTGGACCCCTCTAGTCTGGAGGATATGGAGAACGAGGATGTTTAATTACATATATATACACTATATATATGCATTTACATATCGTTTTGGTCCTAAGGCCTACCACATTTAAATTCCACTTATATTTTTGTCTGGGACCATCCGTACTTCACTCACGGTAATACCTAAAAACTGCTACACAGTAGACGCACTTGTTGCAGTTATGTCTATAGAGTATGGACACTGAAAATATACCTTTTATATTTTTGTCTGGGACCATCCGTACTTCACTCACGGTAATATCTAAAAACTGCTACACGGTAGCACGCACTTGTGCAGTTATGTCTATAGAGTATGGACACTGAAAATATACCTTCCTTGGACCAATCACTCCGAACACATTAACCAACAACTCTACCTTCATTCAACCTCCAAAAGTGGAGCGCAAAATTCCAAAATTTTTGGCTGCGTTTGTGAACGACAGACACTTGGATTGTTCATCTGATTTCCCCAAAGTAGACTTTCCATGCCGGAGACACTGCTGAATAATTCTGCTTTTAAATGGTTAACCAAGAACGTCTAGGAAGAGTTAAGTTTGCGATTGGTTGCATTTTATGATCGCAAAGAAACAAAACAGGCTTAACTTCTATGATTTTCTTATTTTGAATGTCACATGAACTGTGTAAAAGTAGAAATGATTCGGTATAAAACAACAAGTATCCTTTGGAAGTGCCTTTTTAAGGGATTACTGTCTATTATCACTGCTGTTGATTTGCTGATGAGTATTCCATGGAGGCTAGCTCAGCATTGTTTGAGAGGGGAAAGGACCGTGAGAATCACGCTTATTAGGAATCCGAAAGGTTTTTTCCCCCAATGGCTATAGGCTTTGAGTCTCAGGGTGTGTTACGTGGCAATGACATTCTTGACTCTACCTGGTGGTTATCTTCCATTTTTCGGGTGCACAATGTAGAATCTCAAATTTGCGAATGGCGGCATCAAGATTTAATCGTCAACATCAGCAAAAGACCTGTATTATATACTGCACAAACGCTTTGTAACTATGATCGTAGGAAGTAGTAGTAAGGAGTGGGCAGGAGAAGGGTGGGGGACTTAGTGCGAAGAACCACATATCCTTAGAATGAACGCTCATGAGGAAGGCACCCGCAGGAATGGAAAGTACTTAACATATTTGCCTAATGACATACTAAATCAAGCCACCATCAAAGTGGCTGGCAGTGGGATTGGGTGTGTTTATTATATTGCGGTTTCCAACCACGTGTGAGCAGCATCATATGGGCTCCAGCCGGGAAAACTGGAAGAACACACAGTACTAAGCTGTTGCTGAGACCATTTTCACCACCGATCTAGAGACTGGTGTACACTGTACATCAGGTCTTCCATGTTATCTTTGATTTACTTGTGGAAGCACCAGCTGGAACAGCATCCGTGCATACTCAGTCACACTGGCCTCTCTTCCAGCTTGAACCTCTCAATTCGCCATGCTTTTGTCCAGATACAGGCTATAGTTGGGCTGTCGATCAGTGCATTGTCCAGCCGAACTGCGTATGGAGCCAACGGAACAGGACCCAAACTTTACGTGTAGAACTACTAACCATTCTGAGATACAGTGCTTTCGTGTTCGCGCTCGGAAATACGACAGTCAGGGTTCCTGTTATCGCTTACCGTTTTTGGTTATTTCATTTCCAGTTACGGATAATGTCCTCGTTAAAGTCTGACTCGCAAACATTTCTACTGATAACCGGGGACCCCGATGCTAAGAGTAACCGGAACATTTTACTGAACATCTGAATCGAACGTAGGTCAAACTGTATACTCCAAAGACGACAACACCTTTTCAGAAATGCGGTAAACGACAGTGAACAAATCACCGAGGATGTGCGCAAAAGCAGCTCTTTGGCCGGTCTGCTCAAAATTCTAATGCTAATGTGAAGAAGAGAACGAGGCCTGATTAAGGGAAGCGGAGTGGTAGACGTAAGCGATATTGTGTCGATCGTCAGTTTTATAGGTATCTGATTGACGAGCCAACAGGTGCGATCTACAAAAGAGTGATTAGCAAGGAAAGAACGAAAAGATTTGAGAGTTGTCAATGATGATAGATGAAGGGCATCAGCAAAAGCATTTTATTGCTTGTCCGCAGTGCTGTATGCGG